GGGTTTTCCACTAAGCACGGTTCTGTTTACCAAAATAAAACACAGCCGCATAGAAAAGATAGATTTTATTTCAGGAGTTAGACGTCGGAGTTACGTTTTTTCCTTTAATTGTTAAAAGATTCAAATTCAGATTTTAATTTAGCAATCAAAAAGTCTTTCAAACTAGAAGGAGAACGCAAACACTACATATCAGCTAAATTTCAATTAACATGTAGAGTAATGTAGCAGAACACCCCTTTTTGACGCCGTCGTAGTCTTTCAGGTTTTCTCAAAGAAAAAAAAAAGTAGAGTATTAATAATTTGAATAGTGTATGCAAACCAGAGTGCGAAAACTCTTTTTGAAGAGTAAAAGTAGGTTACCTTTGACGACCTGCAGAAAGTACGGAGGAGGAAACAAATATTTTGAAAGACAAAAGAAGAGCCAAATACAACACTAAGGTTAGAGAAAAGAACCCAGTAAACAAAGTTTGACCACAAAAATAACAAGACAAAACAAAAAATTTAAACAAAAATCTATATTAATTTGTTGTAACCTTTGTTTCAGTGAAGAGTGACAAAAACTGGATAAGCAAAGATTCCTTCAAATTTTTTTTTAAAACTTCAAAATTTTCTTTAATATTCAATAATCATCATAATAAACTGTTATAGATCTTTTTTTTCCCGTTACCAAACTGTATCCGTTCTGTCATAAAATTGATTGCAATGAAATATTGACCGACTTCTTATGATGTCTTGATTAATGATTTTTGAATGATTTGCTTGTAAAATGTTGAAAAAGATTGTCAAAAACAAATCTATTACAAATACCGTTAAAATCTGTGCTATTACTGTGTTATTATTCGTTATCCTACCAGAAACTTGTTTTTTAATTTACAGCCTATTCAATACTTGGAAACTCAGCTTGTACAGTCATCAGAAAGTGAGGAAATCTCTAGACGCTTTTCCAGATGCTACACCGCTCAGGTCCACTAGGTCAATTTTTAAATGGTTAGGAAGACTTCTTTCACTAAACTACTTTGAAAACTAGTTTTTAGCTTTTGAGAAACCTTAATTAGGTTTTTCTTTTGAAAAGCACTCTACAAAAATCAGAAATAAAAAAGATTGCATTCGAATTATAAGGAGCCGCTTCATCTGTACCCCACTTTTTCCGCATTCTTTTCCACGTTAGCTCTGTTATTTTTCTGTTAGGAAACCTTACGTGTCCATCACGTTGCAAACTGCATAGGATTATATTGCAATTTATAAGCAGAGTAAGCGTCTTTTAAAAACCTCTCAGCCTACAATTACTTAAAATCTAATTTTCATTTTTGTTCTTTCCTTATTATCCTAAGAATACTGCAAATCACTACTATTTTCTAACTTGATTTGAACGGTTGTTCACCTGAACGATAAAACAAAATAGTTAAGTATACCCTGTATTAGTACAAGTTACGACTGTACTGCAAATGCAATATTTTACAAAGCTCTGCGATGTGAATAAGTAAACCACGAAGTTTCAGAAGGTTAAAATGTTTACTTTACGAGTAATTCACTCTCAAAGTAAGATTATTTAAGACAGACTTTATTAGGCAAAAAGACATTGCTATTCTTTTTATCGAAAATACCTTCTTATGTCAATAAAAACTTCAACGCTTATTTTGTTCTGTAGTCATAATTCTACTCTTTTCTTTATTCTATAAATTTTTTCTCAATTTTCTTCGCTAGCCTGATTCTCACCGCGATTCGGGAAAAACACTTGGCGAAATCTGTGAAGTATTTTATTATGTAGCTAGACATAAGTATGCATCTGTGGTTTATAATACATATATTTCTATATAAAGATATAAATATAAATATATATATACACATATATATATAAATATAATTATGTACTTATACTTAAGTTTAGATATAAATAAATATTTAAGTTTATACTTATATCTGTGCCTACATTTACAAATATATTTCCAATTTTATTTATAAACATGCACATATTTATAAATAATCTTTAAAAAGCTCCTTTCATTAACAATCACTAATTTATTTACGAATTTTCAGCTTTTCTGGCCATCGTCATTGGAAATGCGTTTCTTATCCCTTGCGGTGATGGTTGCGTACCGACTACAGCACCGGGTACTTTTCTAGTTCTCTAAATATAAGCAGTTTCCAATTGCATAATTTTTGTGAAATAATTGAATCACTTTCAGAGGTGCCTTGTGTGCGTTGCGAATTTCTGGACAATACTAATCAACTATTCATCAACTTTGTCATTAGTAATCCTACCACTGGAACTATTCCCGGAGGTGAATGTAATTTTGTGTACACCTTAACTTGCAACTGTCCAGTGACAACTTGCACAGCAACTTTCTTTCCAACAATTGTTGCTGGTGGTGCTGGTAAAACAGTAGCCATGCGGAACAACCAGCTGACTGGATATTGCGCTCCGAGTGGCAACGGATTGGAATTAACTGTAATTGGAGCTGATGGAACAGTTCATGGAGGTTTTCAGTCAGGTAGTTGCAATGCTCAGCCGTAATAGGAAAATAGCATTTTTTTAATAAAGTTTCAATCGACTTTTAAGGTCAAAGATAGTGTAATATTATACGAAATTGTTGTAGAAACGTTAAGGAATAAATCAATTTATTTTTTTTAAATGCTAAAGATTATTAATTCGACATAATATTAGTTAAAAACGGCTCAACTTGGTCTGTTCCGGCGTAGCATTAAAACAAAAAGTTAAATCTTAGTTAGTTTTCTGTGAATTATATAAAAAGTATCAGAAAATTTTAAAATTATTTCTTTTTTACTTAAACAATTTGAAAAACTTTCTGCGGAAAACTGGTTGCGGAGGAACAATAATATGCTGGACTGTTACCAAAAATAATATCTTTAACTAAACCTGGCATATGGCTAATCGCATACTGCTGTAAAAGATTTTCGATACTCCACACTATCTTTTGCTTTTTTTGGTTTCACGTTTTTGAATTTGGTAAAGTATCTGGCATTAGAGCAATGACATCTAAAAACACACATCTAAACACGCATAAGACGTCTAGAAAAAAGTAAGTGAATGAGTAAGTCGTTAGATGATATTGACAAGATGAAGGGTTTAACTAAAAAAAAGAAAAGCTTGCACAAATTCATTTTGTCAGTCAACAGTAGTTCGAAATTTTGTCAAAAATAGGCCTGAAATGCGCTGAAAAGTAAACTGGAAACGAGACTGCGGCGTCAAGAAGATACATCTGCTTAATGCAGCAAAGAATCAAATTTTAAAAGGCGCATCTTTCTTTTACGAAAAGTTGCGCAACTTTTTCTTTTTTTCAAAGATGGAAAGCAAGGAAACTTTCTTGTAGAACATGATGTAGCAGCAGAATGATACGGAAGACATCTACTACAGGGCTGCTTTTAAAATTTTTTACATATGTTTATTTGATTAATATACTTATACAGATTATAACGGCTTCGCGATATTGAGAAAATTTTACTGTTTAATTTCTTCATACAATATCTCACATAAAAAGGTTAAAAAATTTCACATAAATTGAAAACTGTTTTCTACAATTTTACATTACCGATGCGACACAACTGGAAAACATAAAATTTATTTAAATGTCGTATCTGTCTTCCATTTGCGGTTTAAAGAATCCAGAAAATAATTTTGAAAATTATTTGGTCACTGGCTTTACTGTTACAAATTAATTGGACGTAGTATCTTGTACATAAATTTCTTGTCATCTGTTTCGTTGCTCGGTTTGTGATATTAATGAAGTGACTAAAATTAAAAACTTCTCAGTTTGCTAACAATTAATGCAGTGAGGTTATTTAGAACCGAATTAGAATTAGATTGCTGGAAAATTAAGTTGACAATTTTAACATAGAAAACTGTAATAAAGTTTGTTTATTTCTGTTGCACATAAAAATAGGAGTGGAGTAATACAGCAAAATTCAAAGCTGTTGCGCTCATTAGGAGGAGCAAAAAATCACTGCCTTACAGGCATATCACTAACGTGATTAACAAAAAATAAGTTATAAATAATAAAGGGACTTCTTCTCTCTTTTATTAACAAAAAATTAAAATAGTAATCTCTGAGTAACACGCAGATACCGAATTCTTTCAATAAGTTTAAAAAGTAAAAGTACTGGATACTCTTGCTAGAAAAAATGCTATTTTAGTGCTGCAGT